TCGCCCTCGCCCTGCGTCACCCTCCCGCTGCGTCACCCTCGCGCTGCGTCCCTCATTTTCCTTTTTTGATAATCTATATATTCTTAATAATTTTTCCTAATTTTCCAAAACTTTGATGAATTGATGAAATCGTCCTACTTTCACCTGTTCACAGGGCCCTTGGAGGTAGCGTAAAGGCTTCAATGTATACTTATTATTACCATATACCTCAATTAATGCAGTAGACTTGAACAAAGATCAAAATGGCATAGACAGTTTAATTAGACTAACAAAATTACTAAAGTTGAGAGTGTACTTTTTCCACTATCTACTGGAGTAATGGGGGTAGGCGTGTCAGAGACAATAGGATTGGCACAGGATAGAGCAGGGTTTAAGGCTGTTGTACATTAGGTTCCCTGAGTTTCAGGTGACTCGACTGCTTATAAAAAAAAAACAGCTTATTGTAATTGCAATTGTTGTGATGGTGATCTTGATGTTGAGTTTTAATTACAATTTAAGTTTCCCCCAACATACCAAAAGGTAATCTTGCGTATGTTTTTTGTTTGAATAATGACATACGATTCCATGAAGCATCAACTCTTCCTCCAAATGCGATTGATTGAAGGATATGTGTTTTTTCATGGTTAAAAATGGTAATTGCTTCTCTTCTTTCTTTTCTTGTAACTCCTGATAATAGAAAAAAATTCCCATTACTTCATAGCACCACAGATATATTTGCAGAGTCAAAAATGCATTGGACACATTCAAAACAGGGTAATGGTGGGCAAGATCCAATAGTGATTAATTTTATGAAACATAGAACATGAGAATAATAGTGTAAAACCCAGTGTGAGGGAAGAATAGTGTGAAACACAATGTATAAGAACTTTATAAAAAACTAATTTTAAAAAGTGAAAACTTTTAAAAAGTAATGAAAAAGAAGTGTATTTTTATAAACAAAGTTATATGTACTCATCCTGCCAAAACTAATTTGTAAAAGACACATCACACTTATTTCTAATTTTCACTGGATAGGTAATAAAGCACTTGGAGAGTGAAAAATGCCTTTCATATGTAAAATAATGCATTGAGGTAGATTTTGAAAAAAATGTGTCGCTTATATGAACTAGACATTCTGTTTGAAGATTTATTCATAGTGAAAATATTATTGATAATGCCAATTTTTATATTTAAAATATATTTATAGATTTCACAGAATATGGCTTTGGAAAGTTAAATAGGCCTTCAGAGATTTAATATAATGCTTTCATTTTAGAGATAAGTGACTGAAGTACCAGAGGTAAATGATTGACAATCAACACTTACTATTAAAACTAGGGCAAAAGGGAAATCTCTATTCATACTGCTGGATGGTCTTTTTCATAAAGTGATCAAGAGGCAAATTTCAAGTGCTAAAATTGTCAAAATTAAAGAATTGAAAGCTTTTTAGATACAAAACCAGCTGCTCTCCCCCCTTTTTTAATTGAGAGTTTAATGAAAATTTATAGAGGACTTGGATTTCCATCCATTCATTGTTGCACATTTTCTTCCCTGTCCCTTTCAGTTTACCTCCTCTTTGGAAAAAAAAAAAAAGAAAATTCTTTCCTTGTTATACAGTCAAGGTATTTTATTTACATTTTCATCTGCTGAGTTATGACTACCTCTCAAATATTTTCTGGCAAAGAAAAAAGGTGTCCTTACTATTTCCGTCAAGATAATCCACTCTTGGAAGGTGGTAGATTATATATAAACGATACTGATTATATTGGCACAGAGGGTTTCGAAAGAGATCTGGAAAAGAAAAAAAATACAAATTAAGATACTGATTTAGAAATGAACATCATCTACTCTTTGATAAATGTGAAAATTTAGTTTCATTTACCTTTTAACAAAGTAGTAGGTTAACATAAAACAGACAAAATTAATAAAATGACAGGATTGCATGTGTATTTATAACAAAAAAAATAAATAAAATAAAATGACAGGATTAATAAAAACCATAATACATGTAAAACTTTGTTTTGTAGACCAAATTATTGACTTCATAACCAGACCGCTCCTTGGAAGCAAAGATTCTGCAGCTCCATCTGACATACTTAATGCATGTTGCAAGAAGGGACCAGTGCTTGGAGAAGGACATCATGCTTGGGAGGGTGGAGGGACGGCGCAGGACAGAAAGACTCTTGACTCAGTGACTGGAGTAATGGGGGTGAGAGTGTCAGAGATGATCAAATTGACTCAGGAGAGAGCAGGTTTCAGAGTTGTTTGTTGTACATAGGATCACTGAGGTGGAGTCGACTTTACAGTATATAACAACAAACCTGTTTCAGAAAAAAAAGAACACAGACACACACACACACACACACCACAATAAAACACCTCATTTCAGTTTAGCTGAAACCAATTTATAGCTAGCTGACCCTCCACTGGGTTTCAAAGGCTGAAAACCAAAAAGGACGGGATTGCTCATTCTTTGCTTTTCCTATTTCTTACAATTTTTTATTTTATTTTATAAGTACATTTACTGTATTTTTACATCTATTATAGGCACCTTGCTCACTACGGAAACCATATAGTTGATTTCAATTTGCTGCAAACAAGAAAACATTAACATGTCCTTAATAAGCAACTTAGTAAAGGAAGCAAACAAGAAAACATTAACATGCCCTTAATAAGCAAATTAGTAAAGGAAGAACTAGTTAACAGGCCTTTTCTTTTTGTTGAGAATACACACAGAAAAACATGTCCGACTCAGTTGTTTACACATGCACAATTTTGTGACACGGATTACATTGCTTGAATCGTGCCACCATTTCAACCTTCCTTTTCTGAATTGTCTCTTCCCATTCATGCGAACTCCCTGCCTCACTAATGTTCCTATTTAATCTTTAGAATTTCTGTTGTTAAAGGAGCGTAATGCCCTAGCGAGACATTTTTTTTTACCAGTTAAGTTAAACTACTGTATTATTCAGTTTTAGGACAACTTCAGGGGATGTAGTTTACCTTGAATTCTAAAGATTTTCTCAGAGCAATACTTTTTCTATTTCCCCTCTTTAGATCAAAGATTCCACTATGGGATCTTTGATAAAAATATTCTTACACAAAAATTCTTTTCCTGAATGAGATCTGTAAGTAATGTTGCTCATAGTTGCTTAAAAAAGGAAACAAAATGTATTTTCTTAATGGAAAATGTGCTTATAAACCCGTTGGGCAGTTCTACTTTGTCCTATAATGGGACATCTTTGTTATTTGGGCACACCATCTACGGAGAATTTCTGGAAAATAGTTATATTGAGAAGAGTCACTAGATGGCAGTAGCAGAAAGAGCTCTATCACTCTCCTCAAAAATGAGGCTTGTTTAATGTCCATGTTAAATTTAAGACTACTGCTGTAGCGTTTAGCTATTTATAAAATATGAGATTTGATAAAGGCATGAGACTATTCATCATTAGAAGGTCAGAAAAATAACTGATTAATATGTATAAAAAACAGTTTGCAGCATAAAATAGATGAGGGGGCATGCTTAGAAGACAAACTAGATACAGACTGGAAAGGTTAATCATCTGGATGCTTTCTCTGAAGGTAATAAAACATTTTGATATTTGTCGTATAAACACAAACTTTTCTGGATAATAAAATTGTTATGGAGAGCTATTCCCCATGGAAAGCACGCGCTTTAGAGGCACTTAGAGCAGGCAATGGAAGACACCTGGTGCACAATAAACGGAAATTTTTAAAGACATAAAGGAAAATGTAGAGCCAGGAGCAACAAAGAAACTTAAAAGAAAGGAAATATGTATAGAGAGGGAAATGAGAGAAACAGTAAAATGGGAATTTTTAAAGAGTTCTTAGGTGACCAAAAATGGTTTGAATTTTAATCTTGAAAGAAAAGCAATTTAAAATGGTTACAAATAATCTTAACTACAGGATAGGGAATAGAACGGATGTATATTAAACTAATAATAAGAACAAACCAGAGGAAAAATACCTACAGGGATCATGTATTATAGTTAAGAGTAGAGAAAAGAATACCCTTCAAGGACATGAAAGCAAAAGACAATTGTTTTTAATGAGACTTTAGGAAGAAGGGGGAAAAAAGTCATAAAGGCTTTAGTGCAGAAGTCTGCTTTGTGGTTACTGTCTTGGGGAATCATATTTGACACCTCATAACTTTGTATCACATTATAGCAGCTGGAAGAGAGTCTTCCATGCAGGATGTTAACATACCAACATCTTTCAATGACATTTCCTCATGGTATCCTCTTCACAAAAGCCCTGCTGATGTAGTGGTTAGTCACTGGGCTGCTTACCAGAAGGCATCCCGGGCAGAAAGCTTGACAGTCCAATTCATAAATAGTGTTGTTATTGTTAAGTGACACGGACTCCAATCCAACTCACTGCGGGCTCATGTATAACAGAATGAAATACAACTGCTTTTTTAGCCACTCTCACAGTTGTTATCATGTTCAAGTCCAATCTCATAGTCTCTATGTCAATTCGTCTCGTGAAGGGATTCCTTCCTCTTTATCACGGACCCTCCACTTTACCAAGGACGATGCTCTCCTCTAGTGTTGTTGTGGAAAGGTACCACCGAATTCAGTCATAGCAACCTTATGAACAGATCTGAACACTGACCTGTCCTGTGCCACTCTCATCATCTTTGTCACACTAATGTCTTTGCTGTAGAATGTCAATCCACCTCATTAAGGGTCCTCTTTTTCACTCACCTCCCGGTTTTCCAAGCCCGATACTTCCCTCTAAGGAATAGCCTCTCTTAGCCACAGTATGTGAATGATGCTTTGTCATCTTTGTCTCCAAAGGGCATTCTGGCTGCACTTTCTCCAAGACACATCTGTTTGTTCTTTTGGTTGTCTACAGGATATTCAGTACTATTCTCCAACACCATAGTTCAAAGACATCAATTCTTTTTTTGCCGTCTTTAGTTAGTGTCCAGCTGTCAGATGCATTGCAAGTGATTGAAACTACTGACTTGACTCACGCATACCTTAGTCTTCAGACTGCCATCATTGTTCCTCAGTAATTTAGAGAGGTCCCTGATAGTAGATTTGCCCTATGCAATACATCTCCTGATCTCCTAATTACTGGTAAGAAGGGTGTTGATTGTGGATCTAAGCAAGATGAAATTGTTGACAAGCTCAGCCTTTTCCTCATCTATCATGAAGTTGCTTATTGATCCAGTGGTAAGGATATTTGTCTTTTTGATGTTGAGATGCAGTTCATCTCTAGGGACTGTTGTTGTTATGTGCTGTCGAGTCACCTGTGACCCATAGTGACACTATGTAAAGCAGCTTTGAAGCCTGCCCTTCCTGAGCCAATCTCACTGATTCTAGCACACCAACTCCCATTCCCCCAGTTACTGTATCAATCCATCTCAGCTGGGGTCTTCCTCTCCTGCACTGTTCCTCTACCTTTCTAAGTATGATATCCCTCTCCAAGGACCAGTCCCTTCTGGCCACATGTCCCAAGTATGTGGAATGGAACTTCAAAATCCAAGCTTCTAAAGAGAAACAGATCTATTTGTTTTCTTGGTGGTCCATGGTATATTCCAGACTCTTCTCTAGCACCACAATTCCAAGGAATCTATTCTTCTCTGTCATCTGTAGTCATTGTCCAGCATTCTGATGTATAGAAAGTAATTGCAAAGACTATGGCCTGGATCAGGCACACCTTATTCTCTAGACTGACATCATTGCTTTTCAGTACTTTGGAGAGGACCCTCACAGGAGATTTTCCTAATGCAGATAATCTTTTGATTTCCTGACTGCTGGTGCCAAGAGTGTTGATTGTGAAGCCGAGCAAGTTGTAATTGTTAACAACTTTAATCTCTTCTCCCTAATAACATCTCCAAATATATTGGATGAAGTCTCACCATCATTGCTTCTAAGAAACACTCTTAGGTTGCTAATAAATCATCCTTCAATCCTGATGCAACATTCTCCATAAAATAAAAAAAAAAATCTTGTATTATTTGCTCCGCACATATATGGAGTAAGTATAGTGAAAAGACAACACTGACATACACCTTTACTGGTTTTAAATGACAAATTATCCCCCTGTTTTGTTCAAATAGCTGCTTGTTTGTGTATACACAGGTTTCACAGAAGCACAAATAAATGTTCCCATTTTTTGCAATGTTAGCCATTATTTGATATGATTCACACAATCCAAAGCCTTTGCATAGGTTAATAAAAACAGGCACACACCCTTCAGATATTTCCTGCTTTCAGATAAGACAACTCTGACATTAGCAATGAGAGCTCTCGTTTTACTTCCTCTACTGCATCAGGCTTGAATTTCTGGCAGTTCCCTGTTGATGTATCGCTGCAATCCTTTTGCAATATTTTGTTTTGCTTTTAATCTTCAGCAAAATTTTACTTGTGTGTAATACTGTTTGGTAATTTCTGCATTCTCTTGGGTCACTTTTTTTGCTATAAATATAAATATGGGTTTATTCCATTAAATTGATCAATAGCTACCTTCCAAATTTATTGAAATAATATGAGGGACCACTTTAAGCACTACATAAATGTTTGTTGCAACATATCAGTTGGGGTTCCATAAATTCCTTGAAGTTTGTTTTCAGTGAAGCTTTGAATTTCTTCCTTCATTACCATTAGTTCTTGATCATATGCTACCTCCTAAAATGGTTAAATGTTGGCCATTTCTTTTTGGCACTGTAACTTTGTATATTCCCTCCATCTTCTTTGATGCTATCTTGTCATAGTATCTTGTCTATAGAATCTTCACTATTTCAACTTAAGTCCTGAATT